TATTGAACTCAGCAGAGAAATCGAGTCCTGTTGGAAGGAACAAGTGGCATCGGACTAAGGTCCAGAAGGTTAGAGAACAGAGGTCTGTCTGACCTCTGCTTTCGAGGAGTCTTCTTTGGATAGATGTGAAGTTGGATTTCCCTACCTGCTAGGGAAGCAAGAGGAGCTCATTTGTTGCACTTCTTCTTTATTTTATCTACAGTTTTCCTATTTTATTGCTTCTATTTCAGGAAGCATAATAGTCCTTCCCCAGGGACTGATCTATCTTGGTATGTCCAAAGTATGTGACACAACGTCTCACAGTCCCCACTTCTAAGGTTCATTACAGCTACATTTCTTCCAGTTTTTCTGATTATATATGGTAGATTCATTAGTCTTTGCCAAAGAGCGTTCAAAGGTCTCAATATTTTTTCAGTCTTCCTTATTCATTGTTGAACTTTCTCAAGCATATGATCAACACCCCCCAACAACAACAACCACAAAAAAAACCCAATGCCATCAAATCAATTCCAAGGCACAGGGACCTACTGGGCCGCGTAAAACTGTCCCTGTGACTTTCTGAGATGGTCCCAGAATGTCCCGTCTTTCTCTGGCAGAACCCCTGACCATTTCAACCTACCGACCTTGTGGTCCCCAGCCCAGAGCAGACCCAAGCACTCTGCATCAGAAGTTCTTCAAGCACGTGAGCAAGGGAAACCACCATGGCTTCCTTCCTCAGAATTGTATCTGTACCTTTAAACAACTGAAAGAAGTCTTTGGCATAAGAATTGCCCATGTCAATATGTAATGTGTTTTCTTGTCTGCTACTTCCATGGGTATAGATTGTGGATCCACATAGAATAAAATCCTTGAATACTTCAGTATTTTCTCCACTTATCATAATGTTATTGATTGGTCCAATTGTGAGGGGGTTTTGTTTTGTTTTCTTTATGTTAAAGAGTCATCCATATTGAAGACAATATTATTTGATCTTCCCTAGTAAGGGCTTCAAGACCTTTCTAGTTTCAATAAACAAGACTACGCCATATTGCAGGCTGTTAAATCCTGAAATGGTTAAACGCCCCAACTCCTAATGTTGTATTCTTATACATACATATATATGTATGTATGTATTATGTATATAGTAGCTTTTCCCCCAATACATTTATATATATATATACATGTATATATATATATAGTCATCTTAGATGGTCTGCTCAGCAGAGAGGTTACCTAAGTATGATAGTGTACAACCCAAATGCACACCTTCCTTATTCAGTCCATGCAGGCTCTCTTTGTTCTGCTAGGGCAACTGACTTTTGTTCTGTGTGCTAGTTGCCTGTGAGCACTATTACATGTTCCAGAATTACTACTCTTCAAAATGGTATCCATAGAGGGTTATAAGCCACCTAGTTGAGTGCCTTGCATAGTCAATAAAACACAGGTAAACATCTTTAGATCATTCCCTGCTTTTAGTGAAGAACCCATGGATGTCAGGCTGCCCTGATATCCTTCATTCCACATTCTCTTCTGAATCTCATTTGGATTTCTAGTAGGCCCCAATCAATGTATTGTTATAACCACTTGAAATTATACTCATTAAAAGTTTGCTGGGATGTGTTATAAATTGTCGTGTTCGATACTTTCTGACTTCTGTTTTATGTCTTCATCCCGCTCTACCAGGAGGAAGGACAATCTAACCTCACCTTGCTCATGGAAGATTCCTATAAAGTAGATATCAGACAGGCCTTCCAACTCCAAGCTTCTTTACTCTGTTCGAATAGCAGGCATCCATCCCATGATGCTTTAGATTTCTGTTGTGTTTGATAATCCACTGGAGTGGTCACAAGAGCTAACAAATGGTACTCACAATTTTGAATTTTATTAGGGAAGCTAAAGAATTAGAAGTCAGTGTCAGAAATGTTAAGGATATGATTATTTTTTTAATTCACAGTCATTTTTTATTCTCAGTTGTGCTCACAGGCACATCTCTCTCTAGTCTCTGATCTCTCAGCCATGGAGCCACTTGGACTCTGCCTTGCTTATTATGTAAGTGTTACAAAGCTTATGCTGTTGTTATTGATAAATGCCCAAAGAGCACCCCACTTTGCAAGCCAGCTTCCTCCCTGAAATCATTCAACTTCAATCTCTGTGTTATGGTCTTGCTGTTGCTATTTCTGGTGCCCCTGCAACCATATCCACTTCTCCGCACGGGGATCTCAGGGGCACACATTCTTAGTTCATGCTTCTACCATGGCTCACTTTCTATTAAGCTGAATGTCAAAGCTACCCAGTCAATTTAGGAATGTCCTCTACACTGTATGCGCACGTTCCTTCTTAGTCATTTGATGGAGTTTACATATAAAAGCTATACATAAAAGACCCATTCCCAATCATTCAGCTGGGCCACACCTTTCTTCACAAAGTTCATAGGGTATATCTCCTCTGATTGGCTGGCTAGGCAGGTGATTTCCATATTGCTTGGCACAGATGAGTAGAAGTTTCCATGGTTGCATTCATTTGTAGAAATGCATCACTTCGTGTTTTGGAGCCATTTTTTCTGTCTATTCTCTGAGTACAACTTGGACTTCATCCTTTATTACCATTAGTTCTTGATCGTACGCTACTTTATAAAATGGTTGAACATTGACTAATTGCTTTGGCATAGTAACTGCACATATTAATCAAGTTGTTGAAACAAATAATAACTATATTAAAATAATGTTTTAATATAACATCATGCAAATATCCTTCAACATGTTAATCCTTCCAAATAAAATAACATGAATTTTCATATTAACATTTGGTTGATTCTCCAGAGAAAAAACAAATAAAGAGAAAATGAGTGACTGTTTCAGGTTCATTATAAAACACTAAAAAATTTTCTCTTTAAAACTATGGTGGTTTTTTTTTTTTTGGTCCCTTTTATTAAGATGGGGAATATTCCAGTTTTTGAAAAAGTGAATAAATTTCACTTGGCTTCCATAACCCAAAATAGGGTGGGGGGAAACTGATGATGTTGATATGTAGGTTAAACTCCTTGGCATAATAAGACCACTAGAAACTTGATAATTTAATATGAATGTTTCTAATTTTAAAGGGACAATCTACATATAGAACAAATGACTTCATGAATTTAGTCAATTGTATTAAGAACCAATGCATAAATAATTTTAATCATCTCTTTGAGTTTATTGTAACAAAATGTGACCTATATTAAATGCCGCCAAACTTCATCCCTTTGCCTGGATGATATTATATAAATAGAACTGTCACTAGTATTGTATCGCTTTCTCTAAGGGCACTAGTACACTCCACAAGTCTAGATTCTGTTATCCTTTAAAAATTATTAGCAAAGGCTAACAATTCCATAGGTTTCTGTCCTTTATCAGTAGGTTTCCCTACTATGTATTATTGTGTTGTCAGGGGCCTTGGAGCCCGTTCTGACTCACAGTGAACTGACACACCGTACGAAGCACAGAACAGAGCCCTCCCCAGCCCTGCACTAGCTTCAGAACCTTGGTGCAGCCACTGTGTCAGTCCATCTCAGTGAGATCTGCCTCTTTTTCACTGGCGACTTTAGGAAGCATGGTGGCCCAGTCCTGAGAATGACTTGTCTCCAGCTTTTGTGCAAATCATGTGAAAGGAAGTACTACCATCCTCACTTCTAAGGTGCATTCTATCCCTACTAGATTTGTGTGTTCTATTGGCGATCCCATATGATTTGCCAACACCACAATCCCAATGCATCCATTCTTCTCTTTTCTTTATTCATTGTCCAGCTTTCGCATTCAAATGAGGCTATTGAAAACACCATGGCTTGGATCAGGTGCAGTTTAGCCCTCTAAGTCATGTATCTACTCTTTAACACTTTAAATGGGCTTAGGGAAGCTGATTTGCTCCATAAAGTATATTGTTTGATTTATTGACTTGAATCACTCCTAAGTCTAGTGGAACTAATTCCCAAAAGACAAAAATAAACAAGCATTTCCCTTACTCAGTGCCTTTCTTTTCTCTTTTTTTTAACTTTAATGACAGTGCTGTTTGATTTTTCTCATAAATGTATCATAAATAGGTATCAATAACCATTTGGTCACTCCCTACCACAGTAACCTTCTTTGGTGTCACTTTACCTATTTCATATAATACGGCCTCATCTCCACCCCGGAGAACGAGCAAACCCTTGCCAGTATAATCTCCTTTTCCACCATCCATGATGGCCTCAGTCAGTTCACAAAAAATCATTCTTTACCAAATTGACATCCCCATTGAGAAATCAAATACTTCCAAATTGCTGTGAGTGTAAAATTTTCTGTTCCAAAAAGATTTATCAGCAGCATATTCCAACCACTTGTGTCAGCACAGGGCCAATTCCTGTGGATGACCCCTCGTTGCAGTGTAGAAGATCACCACTTCATCTTCCCACAGGTGTCCTGACTCAGTTCTCTGTCAATCTTTGTTGCTTGCCTAGTCTTCGTCATAATTCTGAAAATCCAGCAACATCAATCTGTAGAGGTCAAATGGATGAAGGTTGTTAAGTAAACATGGAACTTACATATGTGTATTGACTCTGTCTGTTCTCCGCTGCTCCTGGAAAGTAGATTGGACACTTCTTAGGACTGACCTACCATCAGTGTTTTGCTGACAGTGAAGGCCATGGCACCGGGTTGTGCTGCGGCCCAAGGATGGATATTCTTCCTAACCTTTATGAATACATTAGCTTTCACTGTAGTATAATTCTTGATCTATTGTAACGTGTCTTGTGAATTCATAAAATATCAGAGCTACTATGTGTCATTGAGTACTTATACATGGCACAAATGAAAGCATAATATCCAAGATCTGTAACATAATCAAGTTAATTAATATATCGAATAAAAACTTAAACTTTTACTCTAAGCAAAAAGTTGAAATTAATTTCTTGTCTCTATAGGTATCAACTTTCCATCAGTTTATATTTAAATGATTATTTAATAATATTTATACATATTATTGAGTATGTTTTTATACTTCTTTTTCAGATTCTAGAAAGTAGCAGAAATAATGAGCAAGAACATGAATATGAAGAGAATGTGTGTTCTCCTAGTAAGTTTTCTTTTATAAAAACATAACTAGAAAAGTCAGCTCAGAGGGAATGTGGACAGATATTTAATTATCCAAATAAGTTATAATTTATAATATAATATTAACTTAAGTAGCTAATTTAAAATTTTTAACAGTTTTATAGGAATATAACTCACATATCATACAAGTCAATAGTTTAATCACATCAGGAAGAGTTGTGCAATAATCACCACAATAGTTTTAGGACATTTTCTTCATTATTGTAATCATCATTATTAGCTCTCCATTTCTCCCCAATCTCCCCTGCCATACCCTCAAGGAATCACTAATCCACTTACTGTCTGTATACATTTCTCTATCCTGTATTCAATGTGCAGAAAAAGCATTACAAACAAACCAAAAGAAACAACAAGAATAGCAAAGTAAAACAGGTACAAACCTCAATCGAAAAGATAACAGGAAATATTAGAAACTAACACAAATTTAAGTGAATCATAAGAGGAAGATCAAACAATAGGGTGCTAAAATTTCATCTAATTACATCTGCAACAGTCCCCTTTCCAGTGCACTCTGCATGATGGCAAGACTGTTCACCTCCCTGCTGCATGCTCAGAGGGGAGTCACCAGGGCCTTAATCTATACGGATTTCCCCTTTCCTTTCTTCAACTAAAACAACTTTAAAATGAGTCAAAAGGTGAATAAAAGGATAAGATATTACATTTTTACCTAACAACATCTGCCATACTTGACTTTACATGCTCTTTGTCTGAGAAAAGGATGATTCACATCCCTTATCTATCATCAGAAGGGATTCATTGGACATTTACTCCATGTGTGGACCCTGCACATGGATTTTGGGCTTCCACTGTCATCCATAGCCTTCTGTAAACCAGGTATTCACAATTAAAGCTCTTGTACCATTCTCTCCTTTAGATTTGGATTACGTATATTATTTACAATCCATAAATCACACAGGCTGGTGTGCTTCTTCTATGTGGACTTCTTAATTGATGTTTCACTTAGATGTCTGCATGTTTGAAAACAAGCCTTTAAGACTTCAGATGATATTCTGTATGATAGGCAGGCACCATCTACTTTCTTCCCCACACTTTACTATAGTACCCATATTGTCAATGATCTCTTCATGAGAGCAAGTTTCAAAGAGGGCCAGATCATAAGAACTAATTGTTCTTAGATTGGGGATAGAATTAAGTGTAAGCCCAAGATTCATTCCTTCATATATGGTTTATATATGTCCCTGGTTCACCTTAAAGGTATCATTGTCTTTTTATGTTAGAGAAAAATATCAATCATTGACCTGGCACATCACTTCCACTGCCAAGTTTACTAGCCAAACAAACAGCACTTTTTCCTGTCCAGGGAGAATACATAAGTCACACTAATGCAAATATGTTGACTGATTTTCAGTTTTATGTTTAAAATAAAGTCACATTCTTTTCAAGCCTTAGTGTTCAGAGCTACCAAATGAGATTTGGATGCTAAGGACCACGTTGTCTCTAAAAATAAAGGAAAACCATTGCCTGTGAATCAATTCAGGCCGATACAGATGATCTAGGATAGAGCGTAATTACCCAATAAGGTAGCTAAGGATGAAAATATTTAAGGGACCACACTGCTAAACCATTGTCCTGCAGAGCAGGCTGGGAGGTTCAAAACACTGCGAAGTAGAGCAACAAAGTGCTTGACCTAAGCAGTACTATGACTCCTTCATTGACTCCAAAAAGTCCTAAGTCTATAGTCTACCTTCTAGCCCTATAATGCCTGAATTTTTAATTTCAGGAATTTTTTTTGTTTTTATCCTTTACTTTCAGTTATCAATATATGTATTAATATATACATTATATTAAATGTTCCAAAAAGGTCGCACTCAGCGTTACAGGGCCAAACTGAACTGAAGGCAATAATGAAATAACTAAACTACAGAAATTAACACAACACCAATCAAAATATTAACAAGCTGATGAGCCTGTGGAAGCCCTTACTGGTATATAACAAGAAATTTGGAAGACAGTTACTTGGCTAGGCAGTTAAAAGAGATCTATATTCATATATTTCCCAAAGAACGCAGAAATTATCAAATATTATCATTAATATCACATGCAAGTAAAATTTTGCTGGAGATAACACAAGTATTATAGCAATACATTGATAGGAAGATGTCAAAAATTCAAACTGGATTCAGAAGAGGACCTGGAATGAGAGATATTATTGCTGGCATCAGATGGATATTGTTTTAAATAAGAGGATCCCAAAGAATTGTTTACTTTTATCTTATTTTGATTATATAAAGGCATTTGACTATGTAACTCATAAGCTATGGGTAACATTAAGAAGAGAGGGAGTTCTTGAATATTTTATTGTGCTCATGTGGAAACTGTACATGGATCAAGATGTAGTCTTGAAAACAGAACAAGGGTATAGTGAGTGCTCTATAATCAAGAAAGGTCTACAATAGCCTTTCACATACTTATTCATTCTACATAGTGAGCAAAATATCTGAAGACCTGGACTTTATGGAGAAGAATGTGGTTTTAGGATTGGAGGAAGATTTATTAAAAACCTGTTTTATGCAGATTACACAACTTTGCTTGCTGAAAACTATAAAGGCTTGAATCACTTGCTGATGATGATCAAGGACTACAGCCTTTAGTATGAATTGCAACTCAATGTAAAGAAAACAATAATTATCGCAATAGGAACAATAGGTAACTGTATGATAAATGAAGAAAAGAATGAAGTCAAAGATTTCATCTTGTTTGAATCCACTATTAATATTCATGGAAGCAGCAGTCAAAAGGCTAAATAGTGTATAGGAATGGGTAAGTCTCCTGAACAAGACCTCTTAAAGTGTTGAAGAACATGAGTCCTCCCTTGGAGGACTATGATGTGCCTGATCAAAGTCATTGTAGTATCGATCAACTCATATGCCTGTGAAAATTGGACATTAAATAAAAAAGACTGAAGAAGAATCAAAACACTAGAATTATGGTACTGGCAAAGAATATTGAAAGTACAATGAACTGTCAAAAAAACACACAAATCTATCTTGGAAGAATTTCAAACCGAATGCTCCTTAAAGGTGAGGATGGGGAGACTTTGTCACATTACTTTGGACATGTTACCAGGAGACACCTACTTCTGGAACAAGGCATCATTCTTGGTAAAGCCAAAAGACAGTGAAAAGAGCAAGATCCTTCATGAGATGGATTGATGCAATGGCTGCAACAAGGGGCTCAAAATGAACAGTTAGGGATGCCACTGCACTAGCAGTGTTTTATTCCGTTGTACATCGGATAGCTAGGAGTCCAATCTGAGGGCACCTAACAGCAATAACAACATAAGGTCTGGCAACTCATTCAGAATGTTCTTCCACTGTTTGTGAATTCTGTTTATTAAGCCAAGTTCAATGATAAACAATCGTTTACTCACTCAACATCTTCACTAGCTGGTCATATAGGCATGTCACAACAAATTCCTAATTCAAAAAACCTATTCTATACATTCCCAAACCCACTCCACCAGCTGAAATTCCTTCTAAGGACGTGAAAATTTATTTTTCCTTTGTTCAATTCAGTCCAAAAATCAGTGTTTTGTTGCTTTTTCTCATCTACTATATCCAGTGAGTTGACTCTTTATTTTTAGAATAATCAGTATTCATCCATTTCTCATCTCTTTGTTACTTATCCCAGTCCAAGTTGCTATCACCTACTCCTTGCATCAATGCACCAGCACACTAGTTCCAACTTGTTGCCCTTTGACAATGAAAACAAACAGTTTTGATGATCACATCTGGCGCTCAAGGGGAAGTTGCTGAAGTAAGATGCCAGACCAAATTACTGTGAAATGTAATGAAGTGCACAGGGCAGACCTTCAGCCCAACCAAGAACTCGCCAGTTTAAAATGGGAGTAGTACTGCTGCTAAAAAGCAATAGGAATAACGAAAACAAGCTTGAAATAACAGCTTCCGCACTTGTCACTTTTCATACTTTATGCTTCATCAAACAACTAAAGTAATGTATCACTCTTCTGCTCCAATACCTTCTCATCATAAACCAAAATAATAAAATAACAAAGTTGAACCCACTACCATCAGTCTGTTCTGACTTGGGATAACGTACAAATGGCTTTTCGGACTATTATCCGGGACAGGAGCACATAGCCGCAACTTTTCCTTAGGAGTGGCTGATAGTTTTGAATTCTGGACCTGTGGTTATCGGCCAGATGCCTAACCCAGAGAACAGCTAAGCCTCCTCTGCTCATCACACTCAGTAAAACACAAGGTTTTCAGCAGCCACAGGCTAAAGATATTCTCTGCGTTCCCATCTCTCTTGCTTGTTCATGGTCACAGTAGCCTTCTTGTATGTTCTGCTATCTCTGCACACTCATCCTCTGTGTACCTATGGCTTTCCTCTGAACGTCTTCTTTGCATCACCCCTCCTTACTCACGATTTCCCTATTCTGCTCCTCTTCTCCGCATGGCTCACCTTCTAGAATATACATTTTACGTATTTGATCACTGATGTATTGCCAGCACATTCCTTCTAGTATACGTGATGAAAAGGATCAGAATGGATTTTCTTTAGTATTTCATCTATATGTCTACTGCTTTTAACAGCACATAGTAGATGCCCAAATAGATATTATTGACCACACATTTATCAAATATTAGCTGATCTGCAAACTAAAAAGAGGGTGTATAAAAATGCAATGTTTTTAATATACTTTCAATTTGGGAAAAAATAGCAAACTCTTTCAAACATTATTAGAGAATGCCTCCCCCTCAAATATGAGATTGTTAATGAAACAATGCCCCGTGTTTTAAGGTTATATATATTTATAATTTGAAACTACAACAAAAGTGATTTGATAGGGCACCATTGATTATGACTGTATTGTCATCATGACATTTACTCCTCAGAAGAATGGTTGAATAATAATAAGTAAACATTCTTTCAGTTCTCTGTTCAGAACAAACTCATATTGACAAACATTTCAGGACCAGAGACTCTCCCGTATAGGAAACCTCGTGTGATTGTAATAGTGGAAAGAGTCTTCAGGCTCGTTCGTGGGAGAGAAGCAGGAAGGCATATGACCCCCTAAGTGAGCAGATCCTATTGGTCTCACCATTACTAAGTAACTTGCTGAAATTCACTGACCCACTCAATTAAACTTGGGCCACGGGGCTGGATTCCTAATGTTGGCATGCTTGGCAAACACCATGGAGACTTGCTTCCTTGGTCAGTGCTGAGAATTACTGACCTCTGTAAACACGAGGGTGGCCACAGCAATTTTCTGTTACGTAAGTGTGATTCCAATCCAAGGTCTGGTTTGCCCAGACAGAAGCAGGGAAGTTCACTTCCTCCCATGAGCAATGATTTCTTTTCGGTCTTCCCGCTCCCGTCACTTCTCCATTCACACAGCGAAGCACTACGTCATTGCAGGACCATTGCTTTGTGTTAGGGTTAGAAAGGTGAATAAAATAGCTATGCAATCACTAATATCAAGAACTAAAGCCTGACTGATAATCAAAAGAATCTTTGTATTCAGTCCTAGTATTGGAAACTGAATATTCTTCTTCTTGAATATGAAAGAAGTTTGGGTTTTTTTTTTAAAGGAAAGAAAAATCTATGTAGAAATATTGGGTGTCAACAACAATGTAGATTTCCCATATGCCATTGATGAAAAATATCTGCAATTTGTCTTTTCATTTTAAAAACAAAGTTCTGTTCTCTGAACTCACTATTTGACTTATTTAGCTATAGTTAAGGGTAGTTGCTTTTTTTTAAGTTCCTTCTTTCTCTACAGCAGTAACAATGACAACTCACAATTCCTCTGATGCAGTGCCTCCAAAGTCTTTTGAATTTTTAAAATTTAGAGTTTATTTTCAAAAATTAATCTGAGGGATTTGTTAAGATTCAAGCTTTTTGCATTTCATTATTTTTATCTTTTCTTTCTGAAAGACTAAACAGCATGCATAATGTGCTGCATTAAACAAAGGGAGAATCACTGTTTTAGAGGTAAAGGGAATTTAACTGGTTTATTTGGTAAAATTTCCTTATAGAGAACATTGGTAGCTGAGAAAATTGAACTTCAGTAAGTTATCCATTAGTGATGATTTGGGTAGCTTCAGCATTAAAAAGTATCATTTTTTTTTATAAATAGCATTTTGACAAATTACAATAGTGTCTGTTGATAAATACATATTGAAATCATAACTAAAAATGAGTCACAGATTAACTTTTATTGCATTACTTGTATGCAAGTCAAGGGAATTTTTCTGTGTTTCCTTATCTTTACCTTTTCTATCATTTACTTGTTGCCTATTTTATGAGAAAAGTTCTTCTGTATTCTAATAAAAATATAATAATACTGTCAAACATTTGAATCTGCTTAACACTAATTCCAGAGCTCAGGATGTTATTATATCCATGAGTGTATAATGTTCTGAGATGGCAAGATATAATGGCAGCGTGGACTGTTCATTTGGTAAATATTTTAAAAACCCAAAAAGGAGTGTTCACCAAAGCTAGGCATTTGACAGCTTTCCATTTTATCAATTCATAAAAGTTTTATTAGCAGTATTACTACTTCTGTGTGAAATTACAAAATGTGAAATGCCTCCAGATGGTGTGTTTAAAGCAAATAATACAATCTTTATCATAAACAGCTACACAGAATGCAGTATTTCATCCTGAAAGCTGGCAGACATGCAAGTTGGATATAGAAAGAGCTGAGGCAAACAAAGCAACAGAAGAGGAAGAAGCTGGAAATGACTCAGACCAGGAAGATGAGCAGAGCCCAAGCGAGGTTGGCAGTGAGGATTCTGAGAACCAGTACGATGACTTGTATGTGTTCATGCCTGGAGATGAACCAGAAGATAACTCACAAGGGCCACTTCTGGGCAACAGACCACCTCTTCCCCCACCACGACCTGTAGCTGCTGCCCCCCAACTGGACATACCTCAACTGACATTACCAGGTAAGCTGGAGATCCAAAACAAAAATGTTAGTGGGCTCTGCTTCTATAGGTAGTAGTAGTGCGAGGGCCAATCTACAGTCTTCTCCTGTTCATGAACAAATATTATTGCTGTTAATTGCAATATTCAGACTTTGACTTATGATCTCATGCACAACTGTTGAAGAAAATAAAACAAATAAATTTTAAAAACACACCCAGTCCTCTTCCATCCTCATGATAGGTTGAAGATCTGACTATTGTCACCAAAGGGCGTGCTTCAGCTGATTGTCAGCGGTAGATCACCCGGCCATGCTCCCTAGCCCATAGTTGTGCAGAATTTGAAATAGTTTCATAGAATAATAGCAACACCGCACACTGCACTAACAAGTAAGTGGTGGTAGCACATGAGGTGCAGATCCGGGAAGAGAATTCCACCCACGAACTACCACTGCAATCTCTTTAGTAAATAGGGATAAAAAATGAATCAACAAATACCTGGCCCTGTAGTTTAAAAATCTTAATCTAAACCTTAAGTAAAGAAATAAAACTTGAAAGTAATCTATCTCTTCACATAGAATGGACATCAGGCATTTAAATAATGCTTCTCGTCTTTTGGCCAAAGCCAAAGAGAAAGACTAATGTTTTACAGATGATTTGAAAATGACTTGGACCACTTTTCAAGTGGTATCTGTTGGGGATTCGGTGATAAAGTGTTCATCACACATTGCAAGTGTAACAGTTTCTTGAAGTCAACGTCTAAGAACACTCTCTTAGCACTAAAGTGGAAGAACAGTTGACGTGGCTGTGATCACATTTGTTGCAGAAAAATCGTGGGCCAATGTTAGTTTCTGTAGAGGAACTGCCAATCCATGGTGAGCCTGTCATGCACAAAAGAACTCCTATTGCACAGGAGCATCAAGACTGCGACCTTTCAAAGTCGATCAGGCAAGACTTCCCAGACACCTGTGGGTGAGTTCGAAACACCAACCTTCCCATTAATAGTACCACCACCAGAGACTCCTGAAGGAGTGCAATTGGAAGGAGGTTTCCCTAGGGAGCAGGAAGAGGGGAGCCCCCATTGGGCTTATCTAATTGGTGTGTTCCTCAGCCTGAGAAGTTGCAACCCCAGGATCACACTTACACCTCTGAATTAACCCAATGCCTTCAAATCATTTGTGACCCACAGCACACGCTGGACAGATCGGAAGGGTTCCACTGGCTCCCTAAGCTGCAAACAGCTAGGGAAGCAGACTGCCTCCGTTTCTTCAGAGGAGAAATTGATGATTAACCTACTGGGCCACTGGGGAGTCTCTAGAGCGACTAATTATTCCCACTTTGTTTTATATTTACTTCCCAAACTCAAATGTGTTCTTACAACACATGTAGCAAGAAGAATTGTTTTAATACCCATTATGAAACTGCAGTTATTCCTATACCTCGCTGGTTGGACCCTGTGAGCCTGCGGAGAAAGCACATAAACCCAGTTTCCAAGACTGAAATCTAAAGGCATGGGACTGCCTACCTGTGTCCTTGAATCTTTCATCTCCATAAAAACTTAAGTGCATCTGCACAAACCTTAATTAAGGCTATATATACCATATCTTAATTAAGGTTTTACAATATATTTAGAAAGTATTGCTTACTAGAAAGTATAAAATACCTAATAAACACTACTGTGATTCATTTACTCTTTCAACAAATTTCAGGTGATTACCTACTATGTGCAATGTTCTTTTAGAGTCTGGGATGTATCAGTAATATAGGAAGATTATTACTTGGGGGAAAGCAAAGATGATCAGTAGTATATACAAAGCAAATGCTAGCATATATTTCCAATTTTTATAGGTGTAAACAATTTTAGTTATTGACATCAGTTACTAAGAAGACACAGCTATCATGTGGCAGTTACTTCTCTTAAAGGAAATAATATTAAAATGTAAGGTTCTTAAAGTAAAGCTTTGGGCATGTTACATTTGCTATTACGTGTATAACTACTACCTTACAAACACTGGTCACCAGCTAGCTAAGACCGGAGGCATAATGTTAGCTCATACGCTCCCTGGAAAGTACCAAATCTAAAGAGCAAAATGTAATATAAACCCAGCCCTTAGCTTAAAATCCATTACTCTCTCTTTATATTGTGCACACAGTATTAATGTCTTTAATTTTACCTTTTTCCAGAGAGCTGTTATTGGCAATAAAGGGACAATATAATGTTCTGCTGTTGTTTCCTTAAAAGGAGTCCTGGTGACACACCGGGTTGCTAAACACAAGGTTGTCGGTTTCCCCCAAACAGTTACTCAAACAAACAAACTAACTGCCACTGAGTCAATACTGACTCAAAGCTGCCAGGGTGTGGGTTTCTCAGACTGGGAGAAAACTCCATTTTTTCCCCCCAACACTGCTGTTCTGAACAGTGGTGGTTTTGAACTACCGACCATCCAGATTGCAGCCCAACACATAACCACTATACCACCAGGGCACCAGCAGCTGCTAGAAGAGAGAAATATAAGGCTATGTGCTCCCATAAAGATTTCGAAATTCAAAAGTTGTATTTAGGATCACTATGAGTTGAAATCAACTTCGTGGTAGTGGGTTTTATTTTTTTTATCTGAAGTTTGTTGTTTTTGATGTTGCTAAGACATTTAAAAGGCTATACAATCTATTTCATTTTTTTTAACCAGTGAATATGTGTGGCTTTCTTGACATTAGGTGATACCTTCAGGAATTTTCTTTTATGTATAGCTTTTTCAGTAAGAAAATAAGCTGCCATATTCATGGCCTAAATGTCAAAGTCATGACGATGTTTTTATGGACATGTTTATTAGGGAAAATAATCGTATATAACACTGTAGAGCATTTTTCAATTTGTAAATGACACATGGATCCCCTTTATTTTCACAACCACTCTACAAGGCCGGTATCACTCTTGGCTGGTAACAGAAAGGCTGGAGGTTCCAGTCTACCCAAGGTACCTCGGAAGAAAGACCTGATGATCTACGCCCCCACCACCACCCGAAAACCTCATTCAATGTCCCATGGCGCACAGTTGTTTCTGACACACTCCGTGAGCCACCGTGAGCAGGAGTTAACTCAACTGCAATTGGTTCTTGTGTTTGGTTTTATAAATGACGCTTATGTGGCCTTGACTCAGAACCCAGACTATAGAATGTATCATTTTAATGTGTCAAATGCTCATTTACGTGAATGAGTCTCTGGACTTTAAAGGCTCTTGTCTCTAGAATACACTGCCACCCTAGTTACTTCAGAAACTGAAATTATAGTCATTTTCATCTTTATTGATTAATGTACCATGTGAATGGAAAAAGCTCAAATCCTGCTCTGAAATGAAAAGGATAATGTGATGCACTGGAAAATGAAGCACCACGTTTCATCCGAGGACAACTCCAACGAAGGACAAGTTGGGAAAGGAGGCAGGAAGGGAAATGAAGGGAGCTCACACCTCAGAAAATCGGTGCACAGCAGCAGAGCCTTGACACGTCCCGCTAATGCTGAAACACGTGTGAGAATCTCCCACACGTTGAATCTGGGGCCCCGGTCCTGCTGCCCAAGAAATACAAGTCATGAAGTCAAAATATCAAAGTAATATTATTCAGAGGAAAAAGGCAAGTCAAGGTGATATTAAAGTTAGTGCTAGACACACAGGCAATGCATCTTCTTCGATTAAAATAACTGGAACAATTAGGCCTAATACCCTGTTAGGAAATTATTCTAGTCTTCTTCTCCTTATAAAGCCAACTAAAACTCTTGATTAATCTTCTGACAATACCCTCTTATTTTGTTCTACAGCTTGGTTTACTTCTTAACATGCGTATTTTTCCACCAAAATATCCTTAAGTTTTAATTTTTCAGTCCCTCCTTTACCAACAAAGAGAGAAGATGATTGTTTTCTCTGAGATAACAAACATGAATCTCTCAGAACCATTGGAAAGTACTGCTTTGGTAGTCAATGGCTAAATCCTTCCCATTTAGTTATTTTCATTAACACCTTAAACAAAATACTTGTCAAAGGACAAAGGGGAAAAAAGAACTTCACCGGTTTGATAGAGAAACAACAAAATTCTCAATTCTTTATCAACCAAGTATATTCTGAAATATCTGTCTTCTAAATAATTGCCACTGAGATATTTTACTTATTTAGTCTGAAAATGTATACAGATTTAACTGAATAGGAAAATCATCAAAGAATACAAAAGCAGTCATTTTATTTTTTATTTGAATTCATCCCCAAGCCATTGATTATTTACTCTATATTGAATGTCAAGAAGTTTTCGAAGTTACTTCTGAAAGTATCCTTCCGTTAAAAATCAAGCTCATGTTGTAAAAAATTCAAGAGCTGGCCTTTTGAACACTGGTTTTCACCCGCAGAGCAAGAATGCCGCTCGGAGAACCACTAATGGCGCCTCTGGTTCTTTCCCTGTCACATCCAGAGACGCTGCGCTGCAGCCAACATCCCTATGCCATATCAAATGACTTCAAATGAAAAGGGAATTGCAGAACTTTATTCTTAAAAAAATATAAAAGTATTTGGAATTAGAAACATTATAATTCAATTTCCTGATTTCAAGTCATTGATATACTGTAACATATAAAATTCTATGAAAATGCTAATACACACAGAAAAAAATCATGGTAAGCAAGCGTTTCCCTTTGCAAGGTGAGGAATTGCAAACAGCAGAAGGTTATAGCAGGAATGATGGCTGTCTCTTTCCTTTACAGGACCTAAGAGGTAACGCACAGACTACTTTTCAAGACACGGGAACCCTTATATCAGCAGTTCTCAACCTGGGAGTCGCGACCCCTTCGGGGGTCGAACGATCCTTTCACAGGGGTCACCTGATTCATAACAGTAGAAAAATTACAGTTATGAAGTAGCAACAAAAATAATTTTATGGTTGGGGGTCATCGCAACATAAGGAACTGTATTAAAGGGTCGTGGCCTTAGGAAGGTTGAGAACCACTGCCTTATATGGTTTCCTGTGCCATTTGATTAAACCAGTTTGCTTAGGCAATTGAAAGAAGAACATCAATAGAATTATATATAACAAAAGAGTAAACACAATCTAAACGTTTCATAAACAGGAACAGCACTTCAAGGCCCAATGTTAAGGCATAAAAACTGGTGTGATCCCGGTGGAAGACCAGATACAGGAAGCGAGCCCCAGGAGGAGGAAGAAGGAGCTGAAAAGGAGCAGGAGGCGGAGGAAGACCCGTACACTTTCACCGAGATTGATGACAACGAGTACGATACAATACTGGCCAATAGGAGCATAAAGAAAAAATTTGGAAGTCGATCTTTCATTATAAACCGTCCTCCTGCTCCCACTCCTCGGCCCACAAATATCCCCCCTAAACAGGAAACCACACCTTATATAGCTCAAGGTAATGATCTTGTTGTTTCTATTTGTTTGTATATTTGTTTATTGAATGGTGGTGGTTATACTTAATGGCGTGTGCGTGTGTGTGCGCATGCATGCATAAGAAGTATGGGGTGATTGCATTAATGGTTGGATCTAAAAACGCCCCAAAATGTGTGAAACAGAGATTTCAAGTCAAAAGTGAATTGCGTAAATCCATCTTTAAAATTAGAAACACATGAAGAAACAAAACAGGAAGGATGGTGGGCTAGATTCTGATATCAAACTTATCATTAATAAGGAAACTTTAGACAAACCACCCATGAAACTTACTTGTTCTTATAGTAAATAGGAAGAAATTCCATTTGCAACTTAATTTATAATTCTATACGAGTGAAGTCAATTCTTACTGACAATCTGCAACACAAGAAAAGAAGGTAGGTAGCAAACCGTAAGGTAGAGTTTTTCCCTAATTTGATTTAAAATGGCTTTAACTTTCTAAGTAGAGGGAATACTAGGATCTAAGCTGTGCAAAAACCTTGCTCCAATTAAGCTGAAATGTCACTTTACCTCAGTGATTCACTCCATTTATCTTAGAGGACCACTTCATTCTAGACTTCAGCTCTTTCTCTTCTTCAGTTCAGCTGGATATAAAGGGGGAGAAAAAAGGAACAAATCCTTGGAGCTTTTTAACGTTTACAGTCCCAGTTGGGTGGATTAAACCTCAAATTATTTTATGACATCCTTGTGAACCATATTGGTTTTGTACCTGGCATGAGTTCATAGTGCCTCAGAGATTGTTTTTATGGGTGTATCACACACACACATATTGAATGCTTTCTAGGGGCTCAATACCATACTTGGGACTGAGAATATGAAATAAAAAGAGTTCCCCGCTTTGAAGTGCTTCAAAGAAATTCCAAGAGACAGATAAGCAAATAAATACAGAACATAGAATGTGATGTTTTATTAAAAATTTTTAGCAAAATGTATTGAATTAAACAAAATTTTTGTATAACTATATTTGAGTGGCAGTATATTATAAATCCAAATAATTCAAATCAACTCTATAATTGAACATTTAAATATGCTTTAAATCCAACTAGGATGTACATGTTCATCTCTAGGGTTCTAACCAAAATATTCTATTACTTAAATAGGATAAGAAAATTTATCAAGTATAAAAAAGTTATCTACCAGAACAAAACATAACTATCAATAATCAACTGGTGATAATCTTCAGGAAACTAAAACAAATCAGTAAACAATAATGGACAAATAAATGAATGTTTCAGTGAAAGTGAACATGTGTTGAAACAAATTTGTGGAGTATTAAGGCAGAGAATATGCTTTAATTAGAAATTATCAGATCTATTATAGTAACTATCTGTCATAGGCCCTCACTATGTCTCTGACAAGGTTACCAAATACCAGTATAATAAGGGGTACCCCCCAAAGCACCGCCTAGCAGCTTTCATGGTTCACAGTTTCCCCCACTAGGTAAGCACCTAGCAACTTCCTCTGAGTTAGTGCAACCAGTGGCATCTCCTGGGATGGTTCTGTCTGGTCACAGTGAATGTTTTGGTAAAAGCTGTTTCCCTCTTTTTTGATGGCCAATTTAAGAGAACAGTGAACAGCTGTGAAATTTTGTTTCCTGCTCGGGAAGATGGCCGCAGAAACTGTTGTAATGTTGAACACAGCTTCCAAGAACAATGCTATGGGAAAAATTTAAGTGTACAAGTGGTTTTCTCATTTCAACAAAAGGTGAAAAGTCAATTGATGACAAGCCTCACTTGGACGACAGTCAACTTCCAATGGATGAAAATGCTTACTTGTAGTGCATTTGGAGTTCATTCCACTAGGTCAAACTTAATCAAGCTTTCTATTTAGACGTTCTGAAAAGATAGCGTAAAAGTCTGCGACAAGAAATACCTGATTTGTGCAGATGGGGAACTGTTTTTTCCACCATGACAATGCATCTGCCCACACAGACATCTCAGTACATGAGCTTTTGGCAAAAAATAGCTTGCCTCCCTCTCTTGCCCCACACACCTTACTCCCCTGACCTCACTCCATGCGACTTCTTTTTGTTTCTGCAAATGAAGAGGGACATGAAAGGACAGTGATTGAAGATAAGAAGAGGTGAAGAAAAAAGTGAGGAAGGTGCTGTCAGCCACCCAAACAGATGAGTTTGAAAAATGTTTCCAAGAATGGAATCGCAGATTTGACAAATGTATTAAGTGTCATGGAGAGTACTTTGAAGGTGATAAGGTTATTTTGTAAAAGAATTTAAATGCATAGCTTTTAACAAAACATTCTGACTTGGGGGTAGAGTACCCCCTCATATACTGTTTAAAATCTGGGAACCAGGTCTTTGCAGAGGTTCATGACAATAAGAAAGCTTTAAAGAGAGAAAATGCACATCATTTAACAAAATATTTAGTTACATTCTAAAGATGTCCATTGTCTTCTTTACTCCGATGTTAAGGATTTTTCTCAGAGGCATCAACAGCAACTTTCACATCATGCCTTTCCCCTTTGGCTTTATCTGCCTGTCCTTCTAGTGACGGTATACTTCTCATTGTTAATTTCCAAGGACTTTTCCTTGCTCTCTATTCGTTCATCTATACAGCATTCTTTTCGCATTTAGGTGGGGGAGGGTTGTAGTGATGTCACTTAATATCAATTAACTTTGGCCTTTTGTAATATTTATTATACTTTTTAAATATTTTTTGAATATTACTTTTATTTCCTGATATTTATTTATCTTCTGATCTCGTATTGTCTTATCTTTGTTCTTGCTTACTTGCTTGTTTTGGATTCTGTTTTTAATGCTTGATACTTCCATCAAATATCCAGAAATAACTATTATTTCACATTCAAGAATAAAACAAAAAATCCTGAGTGGAAACTATTTGTTAATTTGAAGGGTAAAGGACAGATATGTGCTTTCTCACTGAATTTCCTCCTATTCTTGGGAGAATCAAATTGACAGTGCACAACACTGCATCCTCCAATACTTTCAATTCTTTCTAGAGTAGAATCCAAATAATTCTAGTCCACACCTAGGCTGTCAGTCTTCTGAGACTTGTATGAGGAAAGGAGACTGGGCTATATCCATATTTTGAATGTACAGCTGATCATGTGCTCCCTGTTTTCAATGCATTGTGAAAGTCCTGACGTATGATGTGTATCCTGCGCCATGTCCTGAGGTATTCATGTTCAGTTTCTCCAAAGAATAAAAATCCTGTCATGATTGATTGCCTTTCTGTGCAAGATTAGAAGAAAAATTGTGGGCTGTAACTGCTTTTCACTTTTAACTAATCCTCGGGGTAATTAAGTGAAGTTGAATTATATACCCTCTCATTCATTTATTAATTGCACAAAGGTTTATAGAGTACAAAATGATAGTCCTTTTTTGCATATTAATTAAATAAATTCCCTATATGACAATGGTGTAATTTGTCACGTGTATACATATTGCACACTTAGACATGTTAAGGAATATTAGAAATATCCAATTTCTGAAAAACGATAAAGGTTATTTATATCACCTGGTGGCTGGATGGCACCTAACAACAGTAGCAGCAACAACAACCCATCCCAAGCCTGACACCCTAAACATTTACAAGATGTCTTTCTAATTCAATAGCAAAATGTAATTTTCATACCATGTCTATAGTATATAGAAAGGGCACTGTTGTTATTATAATTATTTGACCTTAAGTATGTAGAAACGGGTATGCTTATTAGACCCAGATTCGAAATCAGTAAAAAGAGTTAAGCTATCATGAAGTTGCCAACTCCCTTCCGTTGTTTGTCTGTTCTCTTTCGCTGGGATTTGCTTGCCTGCCGCTTCTTTTTAAGCCATTGATTACTGATAATTCTGTTCCCACAGTGGAATAAGGATTGCCTCATCAGCTAATTCTTTCTTGATGCTCTTTGCATTTCAGAGGGTAAAAGACTTTCATCATAGCTTTCCTTTTCATTTACTTTTTTCCAGGCAGCTCTATTAAGTAGATTTGCCACAGCTTCCCAGCAAGTCACTCTTTCAATTAGAAGAACATTAATTTCCCTCAGTTCTTGCCAGAGAACAGAAGTAGCAGCTGAGTACTCAAAGAGGCTGTGGAATAGGGAACAGAGGAAGAATGCAAAATTCCAACTTGTTTCAGAAACTCAGGAAAAACTGCAAAGAAACTAAATAAAGAACTAAATTGGGAAGGTATACTCACTGCCATCAAGTTGATACTGATTCATAGTGAACCCCTGTGGGTTTCTAAGAATGTAACTGTTTACAGGAGTAGAAAGCTCAGTCTTAATCCCACAGATCTTTTGGTAGTTTCAAACTGCCAACCATGAGGATCACAGGCCAACTTGAAACTACTGCCTCACCAGGGCTCCTTAGGAAGGTATAGGAAAAACATAATGACTTTGCAAAAAAACATATGATCAAATTCAGCCTATATTCCTAAGCAAGTAACAAGATATTTGAGATTCAATTTCCTCATTGTAAATCAGGAATGAAAGTAATATCTAGCTCAAGGATTGTTTTAATTTTTAAATGAGATAAAATGAGCACATACCCAGCCCAGGAATTGATAAGTGGTATACACTCAATCAATTATAATTACAAACAATTCTACTTTATCTTTGCTCTGCTTCTGGGCTGAGAATGAGTTTGATAAACTACTAACTTTAAGTCACACTAAAAGTACCTGTGTTAACAAAATTGATACAAAGATGTCTATGAGTATCATTGGCTATCTGTCAAGTGCTGCACAAGAAGGTGAGGCTTATTCAGGACATCCAAAAAACAAACCAGCAGTTGTATCTACAGATCCCAGTGAGGACAACGCAGCACACCTGGACACTGAAATGCACAGCGATTTGTCACAGGGATGAGACAATCACCAGCTGGAATTGTCCTAAAGGGTTAGCTATAACAAGTGAGGCCGGGGGATGGCGGTGGGGGAGGGGGAGGGTGGCATTAGTACAAACTGAAGTCTTCTTTATCACTTACAAAGG